AACCTGGCAACAAAAACTAGGGTAGTAGTTTCTTCTGTTTCTTTCATATATCACCTTCATAAGATAACTTATTTCGTAATCAAGTAATAGAATTGACAGATCTGGAGGCTAACCAGTCGAATATACCTAACCTGGCAACAAACTAGGGTAGTAGTTTCTTCTGTTTCTTTCATATATCACCTTCATAAGATAACTTATTTCGTAATCAAGTAATAGAATTGACAGATCTGGAGGCTAACCAGTCGAATATACCTAACCTGGCAACAAACTAGTGTAGCAGTTTCTTCTGTTTCTTTCATATATCACCTTCATAAGATAACTTATTTCGTAATAAAGTAATAGAATTGACAGATCTGGAGGCTAACCAGTCGAATATACCTAACCTGGCAACAAACTAGGGTAGTAGTTTCTTCTGTTTCTTTCATATATCACCTTCATAAGATAACTTATTTCGTAATCAAGTAATAGAATTGACAGATCTGGAGGCTAACCAGTCGAATATACCTAACCTGACAACAAACTAGTGTAGTAGTTTCTTCTGTTTCTTTCATATATCACCTTCATAAGATAACTTATTTCGTAATCAAGTAATAGAATTGACAGATCTGGAGGCTAACCAGTCGAATATACCTTACCTGGCAACAAAAACTAGGGTAGTAGTTTCTTCTGTTTCTTTCATATATCACCTTCATAAGATAACTTATTTCGTAATCAAGTAATAGAATTGACAGATCTGGAGGCTAACCAGTCGAATATACCTAACCTGGCAACAAACTAGGGTAGTAGTTTCTTCTGTTTCTTTCATATATCACCTTCATAAGATAACTTATTTCGTAATAAAGTAATAGAATTGACAGATCTGGAGGCTAACCAGTCGAATATACCTAACCTGGCAACAAACTAGGGTAGTAGTTTCTTCTGTTTCTTTCATATATCACCTTCATAAGATAACTTATTTCGTAATCAAGTAATAGAATTGACAGATCTGGAGGCTAACCAGTCGAATATACCTAACCTGACAACAAACTAGTGTAGTAGTTTCTTCTGTTTCTTTCATATATCACCTTCATAAGATAACTTATTTCGTAATCAAGTAATAGAATTGACAGATCTGGAGGCTAACCAGTATAATATACCTAACCTGACAACAAACTAGTGTAGTAGTTTCTTCTGTTTCTTTCATATATCACCTTCATAAGATAACTTATTTCGTAATCAAGTAATAGAATTGACAGATCTGGAGGCTAACCAGTCGAATATACCTAACCTGACAACAAACTAGGGTAGTAGTTTCTTCTGTTTCTTTCATATATCACCTTCATAAGATAACTTATTTCGTAATCAAGTAATAGAATTGACAGATCTGGAGGCTAACCAGTCGAATATACCTTACCTGGCAACAAAAACTAGGGTAGTAGTTTCTTCTGTTTCTTTCATATATCACCTTCATAAGATAACTTATTTCGTAATCAAGTAATAGAATTGACAGATCTGGAGGCTAACCAGTCGAATATACCTAACCTGGCAACAAACTAGGGTAGTAGTTTCTTCTGTTTCTTTCATATATCACCTTCATAAGATAACTTATTTCGTAATAAAGTAATAGAATTGACAGATCTGGAGGCTAACCAGTCGAATATACCTAACCTGACAACAAACTAGTGTAGTAGTTTCTTCTGTTTCTTTCATATATCACCTTCATAAGATAACTTATTTCGTAATCAAGTAATAGAATTGACAGATCTGGAGGCTAACCAGTCGAATATACCTAACCTGGCAACAAACTAGGGTAGTAGTTTCTTCTGTTTCTTTCATATATCACCTTCATAAGATAACTTATTTCGTAATCAAGTAATAGAATTGACAGATCTGGAGGCTAACCAGTCGAATATACCTAACCTGGCAACAAACTAGTGTAGTAGTTTCTTCTGTTTCTTTCATATATCACCTTCATAAGATAACTTATTTCGTAATCAAGTAATAGAATTGACAGATCTGGAGGCTAACCAGTCGAATATACCTAACCTGGCAACAAACTAGGGTAGTAGTTTCTTCTGTTTCTTTCATATATCACCATCATAAGATAACTTATTTCGTAATAAAGTAATAGAATTGACAGATCTGGAGGCTAACCAGTCGAATATACCTAACCTGACAACAAACTAGTGTAGTAGTTTCTTCTGTTTCTTTCATCGATGAACATTGATCGATATTCGATACTGGTGTGATGGATTACATTGAATATGTATCGATGTATTGATCGATTTCGACAGCGCATACTGAATTCCATTACTTCAATAACTCATCTATCAATATTCCTTTTTTGTTTCGCATAGTTGACTTTGAATTTTTCAATGGTAATTTGATTGTCAACATATCAATTGATCGTTAACTGATAACCAATAATCAGAGTCACACGCTTTTTACTGACGTAAGGAAATAATAGGTAGCTAGCTATGGTTGATAGTACATATTTTGTAGGTGCATGGCTATGTTTGATATATAGCAAAATAGTAATATAAAATATATATATTAAAATGGTATATAATTGTATTTTACGTGCCCTCACATATATATTTATAATCTATAAGATGTTTGGACCTCTGGAAGCAAAGACCACTATAGATCAATTGAACAACAACAGGGCCAAAGTATAGCTTGGATACCTACAGGAAAGCGACCCTGAAACGTATACCGGGAAAACATGCCGAATAATAATGTATTAATAAATAGGAATGAATTCTTCTCATTTAATGGATAAAACACATTTAAATATCGTTTTGAAAATAGAGAAATCCATAAATAAATCTTTAATTAAAAAGGAATATATTGGATCAAAATATCCAATTAATTAAAAGGAATATATTGGATAAAATTTTACCAATATTTCAGTTGGCTGAACTCCAACCTTTATCAAGGTGTTATAACATATTAATGTGATAACACATTGATATGTTATAACTCTTTGATAATGGTTGGCGGACAGCCAACTGAAATATTGGTAAACTAAATGATATTTTGATCCAATATATGCCTTTTTAATTAAACATGTAAAAATATGCAGACCTTTTATTCTTTAAAAACAAAAATAAGCATAGTAAATAAACCAATAATTTATAACTACATTTAAATTAATTATAAATTACAAAGCACTTGGTATGGGTATTTAAGAGCAAACTTGCGTAAACACGCTTAACACTAGAAGACATTTAAAAATAAAAATAGAAATATCAGGGAAAAGGTTAAATCAATGTTTAGTTGATTTCTGTTCCACTAGATGGCGCTCTACCATATAAAAAGCACAGGATATGCTTTCATTATTTTTAGTATCAACACCTGGCTTTTTTTTTCTCTCTCTCTCTCTATTGTTTTCTCATATATATAAATGCTCCCGTTTAGTGTATAGATAGTATATAAACTGTGAACTATAAAAATATAGTTTTTAAATATCTCGGATAAAGCATTCCCTTTTAAGTCGGAAACCAATCGGAAATACCCTCCATGATATTTTATAAACTTATTTTAATATATCGCTATTATTTAGGAATACATTTTCGCTATGCGAAATATATCATCTGGAACATTATTTTTTTTATTTGAAAAAAAAAGGTAAATATATGTATTTTCTTCATCAGCGTGTTGTTCTCAATACTTCAACAATATTCATATATTAAAAAAATGTGTATGAAATATTTTAGAATAAGGCATATTTTGTACATTTAAAATATATTTCTTCAATAATACGATTCGTATTATGTTCATTTTTAAAAAAGGAAAAATATTCCTTTAGTTTGGTTGAACCGCTTATATTACTTACTGTATCTATAGGAAAATTGCATGAGGGATAAACAAAATCGATTTTCTCTACGAAGAGATTCAAGGATTTTTATTTTAAAATATAAATGTTCATACACAATGTTTGATTTGTAAATATTATATCACATATAGTTTACTGATAATTATAAAATAGTAATGAGATATACTCGTTTTGGTCAAAATCTTTGAAGCGCTCCAAGGAGTATTTTATTTATTTTGCAGTAATCTCCCGTATAAGAACATTATGTAATGAGAAATATACAAATATAACCTTTCAAAACAAAGTTGTTTACTAATGAACGTGGGCGTATTGTCTATTATTAAATTAAAAATAAAATAAAGCTATCTAAAAATATATTTTATTTGAAAACATAATAGAAATAAAGGTTTCCACTCCCTTTAGAATAGATGTCAAAACTAGACGCGCCATCTATTGACTTTCGCCGCCAATAGAGGACTCGGATCTGTGAAAAAGCCACAACACCAGCTTTGACAACCTTAGAAGCGTCCACCTGAAGACGATTATTTCGGTCTAATGGCCCTTGTCAGTCCAGGGCGGACTTCAATCCACGAGGCAAAACCATAAAATGAAGTTCGCCCTGGGCTGATGAGAGCCATAAGACCGAAACCATGGTGTCCAGGTGGGCGATTCTCAGTTTGCCAATCTGATGATGTGGCTTTGCCCCTGACCCGTGGCCGCTAATTTAGGGCGACGGTCAATTGATGGCGTCTAGTTATTATCCTCACGAAAATATATTTCGATATATATATTCATAATTACACTAGCCGAATGACCCGGGCAACGCCCGGGTTTTACCCCATTAAATGTTTTTATTCAAATACTATTCGTTACAATTATAAATTGGAGCCGTGGATGTCACTATTGTGAAACGTGCCGCTCCAAACTTTACATGTACATTAGGTCAGTTGGTATTGCCGCCTATTTTCACCGCTAGAGGCGCGAGCGAAAGAGCAAATTTGCAAATAACACGACGGATATTCGGGATAGAGACCTGAAATTTTCACTGAGTTTTTCCAGATTTTACTTTATATACTGTTAAAATTTCAGTCAGATTAGTTACGTATTGTGGACGTGTATTGTTGACAAACATACATACATACGCTGACTTTTATATATATAGGGATAATAATATAAATGAGTTTTAAAAATTGTAAAAAAAAAATGCATCGGCCGGGAATCGAATGCGTCCGTGTGGCAGGCGAGCATTCTACCACTGAACCACCGATGCTTATAAGAAATGGCCATATTTGGGTATTTATTCCATTCACAAAAGCAAACGATGACAGAATTGATAACTCTGATACTTGTATATTTTAACTAGACGAATGACCCGGCTTCGCCCGAGAATTCTCCCGAGAGCAATTTCCTTCATACTGTAAGTACATCAATAATAAATAGTAAAAGTGCCATAGAATAGCAATACAGAAGTAACACATAAACCACAGGCAAAAAGTGTGTGTGATGGCAAAATTTGTATTAGTGTTTAGGTATTTGATTTAATTATTTTTCGCAATCCATTTAGTTGTTTCAAAATAAATATAGTTTAAATAGATGGCAGCCTTTCCACCCAACCATCGAGGTACCTGCCTCAGCTCATTTACCCTTGAAATTGCCCGAGTTGAGAGAGTGCAATGGGTCTTGACTGCGATGCCCATCTTCCCAGTAAGAATGAGAAAAATATATTTATAAAAAAATTAATCCAAAATACTGGCATGTAAATATTTTTCTGTAAAAAAATGAAAGGGCACATGGAGAAATTAGGCAAACATACGAGTATGTGTATGCTAATGACTGCGACTGCATTTTAAACAATTTTTTTAAAGAGATAAAAAAAAACAAAGGCCAGAACAAAAATTAATAAAAATACGAAAGTATATATTTACATACAGTAACGCTAATTTTGTAATGTTTTTTTTTTTAATTTCATTGTGTGCATTTACCGTAACTTAGTAATTTAAATTTTTCTCTCAATACTTTTGTAAAAATAAAGTAAAACTCGTATAAAAATATATTTCAAAAAAGGTATGCAAGCAATTCGAAAAAAAAAAATGCAGAACGCTCATTGGTCGCTTGATTGGCCTGGTGTTGTTACTTCGCCTCGTATTTACTCCTCGTAAAATTTTTTTCTTCAAATGAAAAAAATAAATAGCAAAAAATACTAATCAAAATGTAGCCGAAAATTTTACTCGGGTTTATAAAAAGCGACATACAAAATTCAGTACCAATTGGTTCAGTAGTTTTTGAGTTTTCACGAAAAAGACAACAGACATTGTCTTTTAAATAAGATATTTTGAATTATAATAATATAAATGAGTTTTAAAAATTGGAAAAAAAAATGCATCGGCTGGAAATCGAACCCGGGTCGCCCGCGTGGCAGGCGAGCATTCTATTACTGAACCACCGATGCTTATAAGAAATGGCCATATTTGGGTATTTATTCATTCACAAAAGAAACGATGACAGAATTGATTGTTGATGACTCTGATACTTGTATTTATTATATATTATCAAAAAAAATATAGTGTTATTGAATTTAACTATATGAATATGTATTTATTATGTAAATTCTTAATTTGCTTTCAATGCAGCGTTTAATAATTTTTAAATATATTTGAGGTTTCTAAATAAAATAATATTTTCAACTGGATGAAAATTAATCGTCTCTTTCTCTTTGTGTCAAATAAAGATTTCAATTATTTACTTTATGTGTGCACAGAGTTCTTATTAAAATTGTTTTTCAAAAAATCGATAAAACACCAATATTTTTGGAAAATGAATAGGATATTATAAAATATATGATGCTATTCAAAGGTAATCATTTTATAAAATTATTTTGAAATATTAGTGCATATAAAGATTCGAAATATCACCCCGATTTGAATTTTGTCAACGTATATTGATATAGCAGCCGTATTAAAAACCCTAATCGTATGTATTTTATGGTGGTTTCTAGAGAGTCAATGAAGGAGGGCTGCATGATGTCGCGAGAGAGTGCTGAGGAGGGAGAAGAGGTGGAAGAAGAAATAAACCCAATATTTTATTAATAAAGGAAGAGAGGGAATGCTACCCAGCAATTGCGCCACCACCACTGCCATTACAACAAACCTTCCATTCCCAGAGTAATTAGATAACCGTAATCTAGATATTTATCTTTCCTGAGGGAAAAAATGGAAAAGACAAATGTTTCTTGTTATCCCCTTCTGTTTCTTTCTCTTCCAGTTTGGATTAACTTGCTGGTGGAAGTTGAATGGGTTGGACTAAGTGTAACGGTCCGTACATATTGCACTGATGGGCAATGCATACGCTTGCAGAGTAATTCTTTAAATTTTTTAATTTATTTGTATTCTGTATGTCTTTTCAGAGATTTTAACTTACATATATATTCGTGGTAATTTAAAATCTATTCGAAATTAATATTTATGTATATTGGAATCTCTCCAGTCACATCTATTCTCTTGTACCGAGGAATAGATTCAACCAAGCTCAGTACAAAATAGGTGCATAGTCTGACCATTTCAATTTGCGAACACATGTGCGGCATTTGACATGCGTTCATGACTTAATTCAAAGAAAACATTAACTATTATATACTCTGATCCCCGTGCTATCTTCGATAAAATTCGTGTAATATGATAAAAAGTAAAAAAAAACTTATACACTAAAGTTACACACTTATACTGATAAATTCAATGTTCATATTAATCTTGTTAGCTAACACTTCAACTATGCACTCCTATTTGGGTTGTTAAATTTTTGGGGGATCACTTAATCGATATTTTAAAAGGAAAAAGTGTTGGTTGTCCATAACCCTGAGTTTACTACAATATGCCAGATTCAATAGAAACGTATAATTTAATTATCCTAAATACCCGTGTATCAGGCCATGTGCAGTTATCGACTATTATTATTGTAAGTCCACCAAATATATCTATATTTTGAAAGTAGTTCGATATACATGTTACCAAAGCCCCATTTGGTTACTTGCACGCATTTTCCGGGTTGGACATTAATTAGAACGTGGAGCACTGTATGCAAATGTTTTTCAAAGAAATTTCCCTATGCGGGATTCACTCCTAGGTAGTGGCTGTGTAAATGCGGAAGTTTAACGGTTCCTACACCAACACCATTATACTTATACATAAAAACAAAAAATACATATTCTGACCGCCCGCACGAACATACCGTATGACAGAGCGCGATCTAGTGTAACAAAAATTAAATTAACGTTGATTTTTAACATTTCCGTAATATTTTTCCAACCCGATTTCTTGATAAATCGGGAAAACCCAACCACGAACGCCTTTCAGCCTATTAGCCCTCGTCAGCGTGGTGCAGACTGTACTTTAAAGCCAAAAATTTGGTCCTAAATGTTTCCTGAGGAATCATGAAATGGGTATTTAAGGCCAAACTTGCATAAAAACGCTGTTCAAATTTAAAAAAGGAAAGAATAGAAAATAGGTTAGGCGTGCTATTAACAACAAAAAAGGGCTTATATGAATTCATACATGAGTATTTTAGATGGCATAGTACTATATAGTGGAAAAATATTTTCAATTTTTTCTTATTATTTCACTCTTATAATTATGATATCAAAACAACCTCTAATACATGTTTTTCATTTGGACGCCTTCACACTACAGAAAATGTAAAGCTCTTTCCGCCATTTCCTATATCCTCCAAGAATTAGAGAAATGTTATCCAACTTTAAAATCTATTCATTTACATAATTCTATGGTAATTAGAAAGTAAATTTTAAAATTTTAATTAATTCCAAAAACCCTTTTATAAATATAGTCTATCAATATATTGAAATATTCAAAGACTAGAAAATTATTCGTTATCCTTTCAAACAACCTTTGAAAATAGGTTTATTTTGACTAACCCGATATTTGTCGTTTTGCTAAGCACAAAGTAATAAATTTAAAATACTTCTCATGTTTCCAACTGAATAAAAATATTTACTTCTTATATTTCACAAGGTTATTTCAATCTTTGTTTAAAATTCCAGTAAAGTATTTATACGGAAAACCTTTTTTTTTCAGAAATAAACCGACGTTAAAGTTCACAAAAATATTATAATTTTCGCATCAATCGAATTTCAACTGAGGGTGGATTATGAGCTTGTCAAGAAGGAATTAAAGCCTTTTTAGAGATCATTACTCTAGAAGAATGTTGCTGTGTCGGGCGCAGATTCCACTTTGAACACCCAAACACGATTCTAATGATTGCCATTTGGCCTCGAGTCATTTTTTTCACGTTTCTAGTTAAACACAGAAGTCTGGAAAAGAAAGAGGAAGTATTCTTTATTCAAAAAACGTTATTATTATAACGGTAAAACTTTCCTTAGTTTTTTTGACTGGAGGGAATATTAACGATCACTGGAAATATTTATTTTCCAAAGAACTTTGGGAAATTTATCTTTTCTTCAAGTTTGAATAAATAAATCATAATTACTTTCCCGTTTTGTAGAATATACAATAGTGACTCTGGGATTTATTTTTAGATAGTAAATACCGATATTTATATATTTTCCTATAGGCAGAACAAATCAGAATAGACCAACAAACTCCAGGAATAGGTCCTACGTATAAAAACAATAGAAAAGTGTTTCATAATTATTTTATGATATTAAATCATTTTCGAGCTAAACACCATTTTATTGAATAAAATCTAAAGGTATATATCTTTTATGCAACTATAACAACAACAAAGCGCGATGTTTCACTAAGGACACTGGCGACCAATGAAAATGAAACAAAAAAGAAAGAGATAAATAAAGTAAGAAGAAAAAAATATATCTAAACATATGTTCAGGAAATTACAAAATATGCTTGAAATAAGTTTCTATATATTTGCGCGTTGAAGTTGCTCATTTTAATTTTATATTTATATCTAAATAAATAAACTATAATATAGAACTATATACAATATATTATATACAATAAAAATGTATACTTAACAATTAAGATTATTTATTAAATCGTATATATATTTACAAAATATATTGATTTAGTATATGGTACTTTGATAGTAACATTTTCTGTACTAATCCAACATACCTAAGTGCGCATTTGAGTAAAAGATGAGTAGAATCCTGAATCCACAAAAACAGCTTGGATACTCCACTACGATTACTTTCAAGAAAACTCTTGAAATTACCACGATTATCGCACATTGGGTGTTGTATAAATTAAAATGAAAATAATTGGAAATACCTTGGTTGAAAAA